GTCCGCAGCCATGGAAATGTAAAGGAAGCCGCGATCATTTAAATCGCGGCTGATCAAAACTTTGCCAAAACAACAAACCTACATGGCTCCGTCGACGGAGCCATGTAGTTTAGACATACCCTTGGAGCTGTCCGGGGAGGCGGAGGGAGTGCTGATGTCAAGGTGCCTCCTCTCCCACCCTGTGTCCTATCTCCACAGAGCACAGGGCTTGGGATGGAAGGATTTTCTGTCTGCTTTTGGGAGTGGTGCAGGGCCAGGGCAGCGGTGAGCCTGGCTCTGCCCCACTGCATCGCAGGACTCACCTGAGGTAAGCAGGGCCCAGCTGGAGCCCACATCCCGAAACCCTGCCCTGTCATGAACCTCCTTCTGCACCCCATCCCGCTGCCCCAGCCTGGTGAAGGTGAAGGAGGAGGGAGAGAGGGTGGAGTGAGCGGGAAGGAGGCGGGGCCAGGGGATTTGGGTCTGAGGTAGATCGTGGATTGCATTTACATTCAAAGTGATCTCGTGTTTACAAAGGCTGCAGACCCCATCCTAGGGAAGACTGTGCTCATGGCATCCAGCAGGCTTCTTTCTTCACACTTGTCATGCCTTTTCTTATAGGCCTGTTGTCAGCACACTGCTCAGTCAGCTCTCTCTCTAGCAGGACCCTGCTGACATGAGAGAGGTTCTTAGGGGGCCAGGATTTGGAAGCCAATTTTGTCCATTGTTTACACTGGCAGCTCTCCAGTGAGGATTTTGATCTATAATATATATTTGTAGTTGAAGGATGCAATGGCCTTGTCAGCATGGCCGCATGGGCATAAGCTGCTGTGAAAGCTGCAGAACTCTTCAATGATTTCACTGGGTTTGGGTTTGGATCAGACCTTGTATGTCCAAAACACATATTGATACAGACAGCCCAGAGGCTTTGCACCAATAGGCCATGCCACAACTGTGACGGACCGGGCCGTGTCTGGGCACAGCTGAGGGCGTCCGCTCAGGGCAAATTGCTCAAATCCGGGGCTTCTTACAGCCCCCGACTGGTGACCTTTCCACACAGGCCACAAACCAGTCCCACAGAGCACTTCAGCTGCCTGCCTGAAGCCTCCCGAGCAAAACCCCTCCAACACCCCAGCAATATCCGTGCCCCAGATGGCCCCGGGCCTAAACACAGGTGGGGGGTCCTAGCACCCAATCCCACCTACCCCGAACAAGTTCTGTCCGGTTCCAAGAAACCAGCCACAGATCCCTGGTCAATTTACCCTCTGGACCTTGCCCACAAATCACGCTGGGCCAATCCTTTAGAATCTATATCTAAAGGTTTATTATTACAAGAAAGAAAAGCCTGAGAGTAAGGTTATTAAAGTACAGTACGTTACATGCACCGAATCTCCCAGTTCTCGATGCAGGCTCTAGCAGAGATGTTACAGCTGCTGGTTTAAAAGTTCTTATTGCACATCCTACGATCAGGATGGGTTCACGGGTCTTCCGGGCTCTTCAATCCCTGCAGTGCTGCCTCTGGGATGAAGTGCTGAGCTGAGAACAAAATGGCATCGACCACATGGCCTCTTTATACTCCTTCCTGGCCTCTTCTAGTCTGCAGCAAGTCACCTGGTCAGAGGCCAATCTCTATATTTCCTGCTGGCTGCCCTCAGGTGACAAATCCCATTCTTTGGGTGTGTCCATAGCCTATTGAGAGCCATTGTTCCACAGGGCTTCGCTTCTCAGCCTGTCCATAGCCATGCTTAACCACATTCACAGAAATATTCAGCTTCCACACAGATTACAGATTCCTACCTACACACACAGACATTATACACTCACACAAATAGCATACACAGGATCAGCAAACCACAGGGCTTCGCTACTCAGCCTGTCCATAGCAATGCTTAACCACATTCACAGAAATATTCAGCTTCCACACAGATTACAGATTCCTACCTACACACATAGACATTATATACTCACATAAACAGTGTACACAGGATCAGAAAACAGCAAGCTCCCATTCAATACCCCACATGGCTCCCTTTTATACCAATTTCTGGGGCCAGTACCCCCACCTAGGGGTGCAGCAGTGAGATGGCTGCTTCCCCCCAATTCGGTAATGTGACAACAACCCCCTCTGAAAATGTGCCCTCTCCTATCTGTAACTAAGGGTATGTCTAGACTACATGTCTCTGTTGCCAGAGGGATGTAGATTAGGGTACCAGACATAGGAAAATGAAGCGGTGATTTAAATAATCGCTGCTTCATTTAAATTTACATGGCTGCCGTTCTGAGCCGACAAACAGCTGATCAGCTGTTTGTTGGCTCAGCGCGATAGTCTGGACGCGCGGGTGTCGACATCAAAGGTATTTGTCGACCACCCAGGTAAACCTCATCCCAGGAGCCGGAAAAAAGCGGCAGCCATGTTCATGCAAATGCCGCAGGGGATATTTAAATCCCCCGCGGCATTTGCAATTCCGAAGTGTCTCATTAGCATCCCTTTTACAGAAAAGGGTGCCAATGTAGAGATAGCCCTGGAGCCCCAGCCTACCCCTTGCTCCCAGGGCTCATGAAGCCATACACAAACACCTTGGACAGCAGTAAGGAGCAGTTCCACTACAGGCTGAGCAAGTGCAGAATGGTGGGAGAGTATGCTTTTGGACGTTTAAAGAGATGCTTTCACAGAGTATTGACTAGATTAAAACTCACTTCATCATGTGCTTCAGAACAGAAATAACAGTATCCAAGAGATGCCTATAACAGCAAAAGTAGTTACACATCAATTGTAAGACCTGTGTTAATGAAGCTAATTAAATGGGCTGGATGTGTCCCATTCAAAACTGACTGTCAAAGGCAAGGGAAAGTGGCTTTGTACTGCATTAACCAGTAATTGTTTTTATTAAAGCCCAGGATAGCAGTATCAAATTTGAAAGGGAACCCCAGTTCAGCAGCCTCACTCTGTAACTGGGTGGGGAAATTCTTTTGCAGCAGGAGGGCTACTGTTAGGTGTCCAGAAAAGTTAAGTTAAAACATCCCACATGCAGATGGAGTACAAGCTGTCAGGAACAGTATTCCTGATGATGCCACAGCACAACTGGTGGCTGAACTCTGTGAATTTATCCTCACACGCAACTATTTCAGATTTGGTGACAACATATACCTCCAGACCAGTGGCACTGCTATGGGCACCCGCATGGCCCCACAATACGCCAACATTTTTATGGCTGACCTGGAACAACGCTTCCTCAGCTCTCGTCCACTTACACCCCTTCTCTACCTACGCTACATCGATGACATCTTCATCATCTGGACCCATGGGAAGGAGACTCTGGAAGAATTTCACCATGATTTCAACAGCTTCCACCCCACCATCAACCTCAGCATGGACCAATCTACACGGGAGGTCCATTTCCTGGACACCACGATACAATTAAGTGACGGTCATATCAATACCACCCTATACCGAAAACCTACCGACCGCTATACTTACCTGCATGCCTCCAGTTTCCATCCCGGACACACCACACGATCCATTGTTTACAGCCAAGCACTGAGGTACAACCGCATATGCTCCAACCCCTCAGACAGAGACCTACACCTACAAGATCTTCAACAAGCATTCTGTAAACTGCGATACCCACACGAGGAAGTGAGGAGACAGATTGAGAGAGCCAGACATGTACCCAGAAGCCTCCTGCTACAGGACAAGCCCAAGAAAGAAACCAACAGAACACCACTGGCCATCACCTACAGTCCCCAGCTAAAACCTCTCCAACGCATCATTAGTGATCTTCAACCCATCCTGGACAATGATCCCTCGCTTTCACAGGCCTTGGGAGGTAGGCCGGTCCTTGCCCACAGACAACCCGCCAACCTGAAGCATATTCTCACCAGCAACTACACACCGCACCATAATAACTTGAACTCAGGAACCAATCCTTGCAACAAACCTCGGTGCCAACTCTGCCCACATATTTACACCAGCAACACCATCACAGGACCTAACCAGATCAGCCATACTGTCACTGGTACATTCTCCTGCACATCCACCAACGTAATATATGCCATCATGTGCCAACAATGCCCCACTGCTATATACATCGGCCAAACAGGACAGTCCCTACGTAAAAGAATCAATGGACACAAATCTGATATTAGGAATGGCAACATACAAAACCTGTAGGGGAACACTTCAATCTTCCGGGACACACAATTGCAGATCTAAAAGTAGCCATCCTGCAGCAAAAAAACTTCAGGACCAGACTTCAAAGAGAAACTGCTGAGCTACAGTTCATCTTTAAGTTTGACACAATCAACTCTGGATTAAACACAGACTGTGAATGGCTCGCTAACTACAAAAGCAGCTTCTGCTCTCTTGGAATTCACACCTCCAGATCAGCTGCTAGAAGTGGGCCTCATCCTCCTTGATTGGATCACCTCATCATCTCCAGCCTGATCCTGGCCTGCATATTTATTCCTGCCTCTGGAAATTTCCACTACATGCATCTGACGAAGTGGGTCTTTGCCCACGAAAGCTTATGCTCCTACACTTCAGTTAGTCTATAAGGTGCCACAGGACTCCTCGTCGCTTTTGCAGATTCAGACTAACACGGCTACCCCTCTGATACTTGACAGAAAAGTTAAAACGTTCCCTGCAGTTGCGGGGGCCAGTTCCTGATGCCGGGCTTGCGCCCATTTGTGCTTTGGCACCACAGTGCAGTTTGCCAGCGTGTGCGGCGGAGGGCACGGCCGGCGCCGGGAATGAGCCCGAGGTGGCAGGTCCTGTGGCAGGGCTGGCGGGGGGCTCCCGCTGAGTAGCTGAGGGGCGGAGTGTGGTGGCTGGGGGACATTTGATGCAGGTGGGG